CGCTGTGATTTCAACAGTGATTTTTACTTTACGATTATAAAATCAAATGAAATAAATAGATAAAAAAAACTTGATCGTTTTATTCGTAACAAAGATTTTCATTTCTAATCATTAAACGGAACAAGAAAATCGTTGCGAAAGTATAATATTTTCGATACGTCATCAGAATCTAATCTTTCTCATGGCATGTCGAATGATAGATCTTTTCATTTTCAATTACATACGCGGATACGGACGTGTTTCCGAACGAGTATAGCCTTCGTCAGTTATAGATGGATCATCAGAAATACATACATCCGCGAAAGCTGTACGAGATGCCAATGTCTTTCCGATACTAAATAAATTGTATAAAAAGCTGCTTTAAAGTCAGCTTCAAATGGTTGATGAAGAAACGAGAAATCGAATTCAACTATTATTTTTTTTTCACAAACTAACGCTTTTGAATAGACAAAATATCGCGATGACATTTTTATCTATACATCGAGTTGTGTTACGTAAATTTTTCGAATCTGTGTTGTTTATGAAATCTTTTAAATGAATGAATGAATGGAGCTAGCGAGATTTGACCGCAAAATAACACTGTATCATAATACAAGCAATATCGTAAACATTTAATTTTGAAAGAAAACAACAAGATGAAATACCATCTTCCATTAATCAAATAAAATTCGTAAAACAATAAATACCAGTCAAAAAATATTTAGACAACTAAAGTTTGAAATATAGCGTGATTAATCCAGGCGTGATATTTGCGTGTTTTGTTTTCAATGGTTACGCGTACAAATTTTAACGGAAATCAATTTCCTGAAGAAAGTGGAGCTTATTATGTTTTGAAAGAAAACTCAAGTGCACACAAAGGAACCAGGAATTCTGATTAAAGTTTCTCAATGAAAGTCTAAGGTCTTTCTTTCCCGGTTAACGTCGCGGTAGGTGACACGAAATTGTATTTTTAAAAACTAACGCTGGTAAATGGCTCGGAATCATAAAAAATTCAAATAACGGGTAGATAGCTATGTAAACATGTTAAAATCTAGAAAACTAATTTTATAAAAAGTAAAATGTTTCTCAATCAAAGTTGATCAATTTAAAATATAACGTGTTGTTACTTTCTCATTTAATTAGTAAACATAAGAAAAAAAAAAAAAAAAATACTTTTTTAATAATTCCAAAAAAAAAAAAATTACAAAGAAATGTCCACGCGCAGTGTCTACATCCCATCGTTCTGTTAATGCGAGTTTCCTCGTTGTGACTTCAGAAGGAGGTGATTCCCGGAGCAGACATTACGCGGGATTAAAAAAAGAAGCTGCCTCGATTAAGCTAACAGTGACTGCGGAGGCGTTACGTTCCCCGACGGCATTACTTCCGGATAATTACTTGGAATTTCACACGCTTCATTGGTTTGCTACTTCAAACAATCGCGGTTTGATCATTTTTAAGGGCGGATATAGTTTCTTCGGGTTTTTTTAGTGTTTTAAAGGCTTTTCCGTGCTTATGTCGCGCTCCTTGATGGATCGTACTTCTTTTCTTTCCTATTTTTCACGACTCATAATAAAATAATAAAACTAAATAATTATGATACATTTCAATAAATACAGAGTTAATTGGATAGTTATTATGTAATTATGCGATGTTTATTATGTAATTATTGCATGATGAGACAGCGCTTAATTATATTATTATCTGATCTATTCCATTAATCTGATAATTAATTGGTAACAATAACCGATTTTGTGGAGTTTTCTTTTTCAGGGTAAATTAAAAATTCATTATTTCATTAGCGAGAAATGAATCCTTCTCTTATTTTCTTCCACGTTGACGACTGGCTTAAGTTAGTAGCACATTACGCGAACAAGTCGAGAAGAAAGGGGGTTTGCCTAGTGCGTACCCCGAACCGGATCCGTTGGGTCGTTCGCTCCTCTGTTCGGTCCTGCACCTGCTCCGAGTCGGAACATGAAAAGGCGCATCCGTACAATCTGAACGAACGGATGAACGAGCAGACAAAGGGAGTTCGGTCAGTGCAGTCAAGTGCGCACTATAATACAGTTTATGCCAGAACGACCGAGAGACACGTTTCGTTTAATCAACTTCGAATCGAATTTATGTCTACATGTTCCCGTAATGCTACACAATTATTTTTATGTAGCAATAACTAATCAAATTGAGAAAGAAAAAAAAAAAAAAAAAAAATGGAAAAAAAACCTTGATAAAATGGATCGAATCGATGGAGTTATTCGAACGGCCAATGATATTTGCGTTGCCGTAAGGTTTCGAGCCTTGCTCTGCCGAGCTTTCCTCCGTAACCTACGTGCCTGATATAGGAAGCTGGAAGATTCAGCAGACCGAGTTCAGCATTACGGATTAATATTCTCTAGAGGAAGCACGTAACCTCGCGCCGCCGGGCTCTCGTTATTACCGTCTGTGGTGTCGAATGAGATGCCTCTCGCGCGAAACTACAGCCCATATTCCAAATTCTCTAGTGAAGTTGCCGGCGCGAGAAGGACCCGCGTTCGTCGCGTGACGGATATACGCGCTTTCCTTTCATAATTCTTTCTCTAAGGCTCGCGATCCGCGTCATCGCGTCGGTGACGTCAGAAGCGAGAATTGCGCGTAATTTATTCAGGTAAATTAATTATTTGCATGCCACTAGTCGCGTTTGACGGAGTAGACTTGCGGAATGTGCCGATGATGCACCCTTGGGCTTGCGACTTGATAGATAGCTATAAATTTTAATCAATAACGCACATTCTCGATTGAAAAGGAAAAATTAATACGGCTCGTCGACTTGCCGGGATTTTCATTCGATGAATATCGTGTCGTCGCGATACCGCGACAACGCGATAAAATCTTTATCAATCGTCCGGGAAAATCGGCCATAATTTTTCAACGAATAATTCAACGACACGCACACAGATTATTGCAAGAAAATTAAACGAGAAAGCATTCGGCGATGGAATAGATGCGGATCTATGCAAGAGTCGTTAGCATGCTATACGAAATTAAAATTTCAATAGAAAGAGCTTCGGGATCACGATGCGATATTTTCTCGAGGAGGCACGTAATAGCCGGCGCTGTCGTGTTCCGTTATCATTGTCGGCGGCGTCGAGTAGGACACGCCACCTCCTCACTCTGTATATTACCTGGTGCTCCAAATTCTTTATTAAACGCCTAAAAGATTTACTCGAGACTATACCCCGTGATACCATTAAATTGACTTAATAACGTCCGTTCTCAACGCGATCGTTGATGATTGTTACGTTTTGCAACAATGCCGAAATTCGGAGATTAATTGCGAATTTGCGCATCACGCTCCTGTCATTCCTTTTAATTCCACAATGCACAGCCGCGCATTGTGGCCGCGTATTTTTTTTTCCAAATGATTATTTTGAAATACAAAAGCTGTTGTGTGGAAAAACGCGAAAAAGCTAAAGCTTTTCGCAACATGGATATGACGCGTGTGTTATACCGCGAATTAAACACATATAAATCTAACCGCAAACACTATAATTTTTGGGGTTTGAATGTTGCGAGAAGAAAAATAGTGTTCCTCAAAATTTGTCATTTTATATACAACACTTTAAGAATGAACGTTCTATACGCAATTGAGCGTAATTTCACAACGATTTGAAGATGAAGAAGCTACGTTACGGCGCGTAGATATAGAAACGCTTCGTCCGAGGAGCACGTAAGCTCCCACCGCCATCTCTCCTGCCTGAAGTCACTCCTTTGCAGCCTCCGCCGTCCCTGGCGTGCGTGCATTTCCTGTGCAACAAATAAGTGGACGCTCTGTAAATAGATGCGAGTTGTCTTGTTTTTCTTTCCGCATGATGTTCTTCGTGAGTTATCAAATTGTTGGCCGGTTCGATGTAGTTATAACGTTGCAGCGAGATTGAAATTCTATTCAAGTTAAACGCTTCGAATGTTAAACATTTAAACGTTGAGTTTAATATCATAACATTCCAAAATAACTCTACAACAATGTAACAACATCAATGAACGGCTGAATACCACAGGTGCCTAATTTATAATTACTGATGCTTCATTTAAACTAGGATAATGTGGCTTTGGCAAACAGCGTTCCGAGTTATACGAATCGAATAGAGTGGTTTATCCAATAGAGTTAGAATGTTAGATTGAAGCGTCTATCGAGTGGCACTTAGCCGCCCGAGCATAAAAGCATAATGATATATTCTCGCTGCGGAGCTGTGAAAGCGCGTACAGGAAACTGCAAACGACACCTTCTGCACGGTAGTCTCATGATATCGCTATTGCATTCCAACGGCGATGGTATTATTACACTTTATACCGTACGATAACTCATAATCTTTCTTTGCGGGTAAAACTCCAGGAAAGTCGCGTGAATTCTTTCCCGATGCGCCGTGTAATTCGCTCCGTAATGTTCTCCCGCCTCCGGCTAGCCGACAGAAGTCACGTAGCTGCGTTTAGCCCAGCATCCTCATCGCGGTCGGCGCGACACAGCGTTACGATGGGGAGCGGTGCGGTGCGGCGCAGGCGGGAGGGAGGCCTGCACCGCCGCCAAGGGGTCCCTGTACTCTCGCGGCCTTCGCTGTAACGCACTTACCGTAGATTTTCACGAGACCGGACGATGCATCCGCTGCCGCCGCTGCCGCCGTCGCTCGTCGCTCCGACGACGACGGCAGCGGCAGCGGCGGCGGCGGCGGCGGCGGCGGCGGTGGCGGCAGCGGCGGCGACGTACGACGCGTGGCGTGCGCATGCGTCGCCAGCCACCGCTTCCGCCGCCACCACGAACTTCATCTCGCATCCCCTCCGTGCAGGACCGCCGCCACGCGACCGTAGCCCCCACCAGAAGCGTGAGCGTGTGTCACGCTCCGGGTAGCTCTCGGTGCGTGCCCATTATTAAGGAGGGGGTAAGGGGCGCGTGTAGCTACGACGCCGCGTGGGGGTAACCTGGCCGGCGGCTTGGTGGGGTGGAATTACGCTTCGCAAAAGGACCGTCAGTAGTTCCGTGCTGTCTGCCGTGCGGGTCGGATACGACAAACGCGACGCCGCGATAGTCTCGTCTCGTCTCGTCTCGTCTCGTCTCCCCCGAGCCACCCTTACTACCCTGCGAAACGAACGTCATCAGCAGCATCGTCGAATCGCGCGCGCTCTCCTTCTCTCTCTGTCTCTCTCTCTCTCTCTCGCCGTCAATTCGAGAGGCGCCGAGCGCACGAGGGATTCGTACGCGAGCGGAAGAGACGTCACACCGCCGCGTCTCATCGCGTCCGCGCGTCTCGCTCGGAAATTCTCTCGTTTCAACCCCTTCGACGACCGACCGCGGGCTTTCGTGGACGCGCGAGTATACATGCCGTGATGCCGCGGGGTGAGCGATGCGGACCGCCGAGAGGACTCGCGTCCGAGGGTGCTCCGATCTCGTCCTGACGATAACAGCCTCGTGTATCATCCATCCTTGGTAGACGCTAGTGGTGCTGCATTCGGTTGAATAATGTTGTTGTGAGTGAGAGAAAACCCTGATCGACGTGGTGGATCGAGGTACGCGCGGATGGATCGGGGATACGTCTTTAGAGATTGTGCCGGCTCCGTCTGTTCGCGATTTTGAGGGGAAAAAGACGAGCGACGCGCGAGACCGTACTCTGTATCCTCCTCTCGAGCGCAAGTGTGTGCGGCGTGTAACACGTGTGACAGTTACCCGTGGGATACCACCGTGGATTATACGTTTCTTCGACCGCAAAGGGGTGGTGGTTGGAGGCGTCGTGTGCGGGATTATATATATACACATATATATGTACCAGTGGTTCTCTTCGGTGCACCTTACGGCGAATTTATCCCTAAAGGATATGTCGGTATAGTGCTCGCGTACGGATCGGATAGCTACGATGGCCGGATACTACAGTGCGCTCAATACGGATTTCGCTCCGGAATCGGCGCCGAGAATGCGGCGATCTGCGATCGATACTATTGGGGATGCCGGGAAGTCCTCCGGATGCGCGATAATGAAGTAAGTTATGTTCATCCACATATCTTGTGTTTCGAGAGAAACAATTACAGTCTTATGAAGCGACTTAATTAGTTAACACTGCATTTAAACAGCGAAATATCCGTAAAATCAAGCGTGATTAATGTATTATTCGCTCTCATTTGCACATTTTGATTGTATTTTTCGCGCGCTACGGAAAAATATTTTATAGCTGCTTGTATGAAAAATTATATTTATATAAAACATAAAAAATCTATTTGTAAAGTATACAACGTATCGCATGTCACGTATTTTACTCAAATATTCGGTTACGTCAGTCAAACATGTAAATTTAAATCACATGAAGCGTCCGTTCAAAGAACGCTACATGTATGTTTTTGGCGATTATATTATTTTAATTATAAATTTGTAGCTTATAGCATTATAGGATTGTAGCATTATAGGATAGAATTTCATTGTAAATTTTTCATAAATAAGTTAAGATGGGCCCATTCTATCTTATAAGAATGGATATATGTAATCTCTTGGAGAAAAGACTCCAAATGGAAATGTCTTTTCAATTGCTTTACATAGTTGTCGTAAAATATAAGTTAACCGCTCACTGAACCGTCCGAATTAATAAAAAATGTGTGGCCATCATGCGAACAACTATGTTTTTCGAAGTCAGTATATCTAGACATTTTATAATTTAATACGAGTATCGTGAGCGCTCACTTTTGATCTCACAAGTCGGTCTATCTAAAATCTAAAACATTTAAACGTACGTCGCATGTATATATTATACATATCGCACATGCGTGCGACGCTACTCGCATTTGCCACAATATGGAATAATCTATGGGGATTCCAGTGACAACGGTTTCCACGTCCGTAGCGTGTGTGTACGTTCGACGCCTTAAAATATTCACGAGATCAATATTCTGCACTTGTCGCGATATACGATTTTAGCCGACGCACCGCGGCACGAGGCTTTTCGACGAGAATTTTGGCAAGCAGCTTTGACACGAGCAAGATATGAGCTGATGATATGCGAATCTTTTACGTGATTCTTTTTATAATAAAATTAAATATTAATATATGTGTAATTAATAAAATTATAATAAAATTGCCCTACTTTACTGATATCGAAATTCGTTGAATTCGTATTTATTTTTGAAAATATTTTATATAATTTTACATACACAATTTTTTACATATAATCAGCTCACAATTTTTCACAACGAGCTACGTAACGCGTTCACGTTTATACAGAATATCGTAAAATTACCGAAATTGTTCCTTTAATTGGCAATATAGTTGCCAAAACAGATGTGAGCCTAATAAACCCATCTGCCGAGAGAGGCGGAGGATTAAGTGACACACGGTGAAATTAAATGCCATTACCCTCGAAGAAATTTACGCGATCGATACGCGTATAAATATGGCGCTACCAAGGTCCAAGAGATGCGCTTTAGATCGCCGCATCGGCTGATGATAAATGGCCAAGTTAATGGCCGACGTACTATTAATGAGAAAGAGGATTTGTTGATGTCGGCAAAAATAAGCAACCGACGAATCAACGTAAAGGGTGGTAGATGCTTAGATTAAGTTTTTTGCTCGCTCGTTTTTGTCAGGGACCAAATGCCGCGGTTGTAGTAGGATATTGACCCCATAATATTGAATTTGAAAAATTTCTTTCGTTAGTTCTAAATTATGTAGTTTGCAAATATGGTATGTTTGCAAAATATCTATAAAATATTAGAAAAAATATTTATAAAATATTTTAAAAAGCCACAAAATATTACAATATTGTAGGGTATCGTTTTATAAATCTTTTTATATCCGTTTTGTACATGTTTTAAACATCGTATATCGATACTGCAATGATGTATAATAGATGGCCGATGGAAGATTTAAAGTGAAATTCTGAACCATTGGGCAAATATAAATGTCTAAAAATTTAGGAACGGTTGTTGGAATTTCAATTTTATTGTCATCGCGGTGATTTTTATTATATAAAACATTAAAATATTAAATGAATTCAGTTTGATTCTGCCGGAATCTTATTAAATATTTTATGAAAGTGATTCATATGTTAAATATAATATATTTAATGATAAATAAATGGAAGGACTGTATTGCTGTATTTGACGATACAGTGTCAGCTTACAATATCAATTTCAATTGATGCTATTAAATTGAAAACGTAAAGCTTCGAAAAATATGGATTTATTTCTCAATAAAATGTGCACTGCTCTCACCCTTTAGAAGATATATTATTTTTAATCGTAAATAGTAAATATGTAATACGTATTTATATACTCTTTTTCACACACAAGTGTGTTATGCGTTTAGATATTTGAGGACTAAGATAGCTGAGAATATACACAATATTCTCGGTACACATTCTATATTGCATGGAAATAGTTTCTAATATGTACGCAGAGCTCATAGCACGAGCGTTCATGGGTTAATGTCTCTATATTTGGGGGTTTGTGTTTATTACCGCGAGCGAGAATGTATAGATCGTATCAGCCGGACGTTTACTGCCTCCATCGCTCCTTGGTAAAGAAACATTTAGGCAACAGCTTGAGATCTTATAAATTTGCGGTATGAAATAAATTAAATTGCGCAAACTTAAGCAGAATTATTAATGGTCTCGCAGTCTATTCAATTCGTTTGTACGCGAGACGTCCTTATTGTAACGAATTTCTTTCATTGCGGGATGCTGGACAAATTCCGCAAGTATTTTTTTCTTTCGTCCCCAGCTGTTACATTAATTTAAATCCCCGAGTATTTAAATGTTGACATTGGCGTTCTTGTAATAGATGATATCGCAAGTTATTTTCAAGCAAATTTATACGCGAATTAAGAAATTGATCATCCCTCGAATGTCTTGGAATAAATAAAAGTATAATCAGCCGATTTGATTCTGAAATTATTCAACGCTGGTAACAAAATGCGAAATTCTAATAACTGCAGAGATTGCCTCATTAGATTTCAGCCGAAAAATCGATTCAAAATATATCAAAACATCCACAGCCATCAAGATTATGACTGAAGATTAGAGCGATAGCTCAGGCGCATGTCCTATGTCATTACTTTCTGTGTACCTTACATATGTACGTTACACGATAAGCTAACAACCCCTAATAATTAAGTCCGAGCGCAAGCACGGACGACGGAGTGGAGTCTACGGTTAACTCGCGTGCATCCATCGGTGATTTTCAGCGTTTAATGAGAAATCTAAATTGCGGGCTGAATGCCGCAATGAGTTCCGCCGCAAAGTTCCACGGTACTACGCGCGAAGTTGGTGCAATCGGAATCTTAAGATTCTCACCGGGAAGGTTAATTCCACTTAATAGTACGAGGGGAAACTTCAATCTCTAAGGTTTTATAAGTTCGATAACGAAGCCGTAGGAAGAGCGCCGCGCGTCTTCTCCTCCTTGACATTGCCGGAAGAGAAAAATCCTCGGGTTTCGCAAGACACCGGATTATGAGACTTTTGACGTTACGTGCGCGCGTAGGCGCATGACAAGATGGAATTCGTAGACGGAATTTTAATTTAAGCGATTCGCAAGGGAGGATGGATTTAATATTCGCACGTAGCAGCACCGCTGCGCCGCACCAATCCGCCGTCGGATGAAAATGCATTAGAGAAATACTCGGACGAAAGAATAACAGGACCCACTCGAGAGACGAGAAGTACGGCTCCTGTGTAAAGCCGACAGAAATCTTAGTTTAATATCACGGTTCGTTCGTAATAAAACGTTTGATTGCTCGTGCCACTTCGAATCTTTGCGTCATACTGCAGCGCACCTGGCGTGGCCACCTGGTGCCAATATATGTATACATATATATATATACGAATTATAAAAAGAAAGAAATTTTCAAATGAATTCCAGAAAATCAATCTAATTTGGACAGAAAGGTTCAATCAGTACTATTTTTTTTTTACTAAATTCTTTGCATCTTTAGATTCCTACTAATTTCCCTTTTTATCGTTAGCTGATATAGAAACGTGCGAAATGTAATTTAAACAAATGTTACATAAATATAATCGCGACATAATTTTCTCGCACGATTGATTTAACAAATTATCGCAACCCCTCTTGACTTTAACCATGTTTCTATTTGCCTATTATCGATATTAATCAATAATTTGCTTGCATTCTGTTCAGTCTGTAACTATTTCTCCCTATTGTTGCTCATTATTTACAGATTGCTATTAATTATGGTTCTCCGAATGAAAATTAATTCTTGATAAAACGTATAGTATGTGATCGAATTACACCCGGATTGTATTGTGAATAATTCAGATCGTATAATCGTCAGAGCATAGTTGTTGCCATGCTGGTAAATGCTATAGACCGATGACATTAATAACATTTATGCTTTCATTTTTGTTAATTCTCTTCCAACTAAATTACCTCGTGTTAGCAGATAAATGAAACAATCGATACATTCCGATATCGCGATTTATTGGCGAAAACAGAATCGTTCGTATTCTGTTAAATTAGTGAATTAGTTAAGTTTTAATTACAATCGATGTAGTTCGTGAAGAATTCCCGAGTATTTTAACAAAAGTCTTGATGATAGTAAAAAAAAAAAAAATAGAAATTGAGAAGAGTTTGCGTCGTCTAACTTCGCGTCTTTATCATATGAAAATTGGCAATAACCTTTTCCCTTGTATCAAGATCAATTTGAGCCGTAAGAAAGATTATCGATAATTCTTAGAAAGCTATCTGGAACTCTCGCCCGAGTTAATACTTATGGCTGAAACTGATTCATCGCAAACAAAAGTTTCCACCAATTTCCTTTTCCGGTTCGAGAATATGCTAAATCCAGGGAGATTTTTTTTTTTTTCAGAAGTAAACTTTCTCGCGAGAGTTCAGGATAGTCGAGTTTCCTTTAATTAAAAAAGTGACATGTCTTTAAACTGTATTATCACATCGTTTTGCATATCTCACATATACTTTTTGCTGCTTAACAAGCTTGGCAAAGTAAACTATTATTAGATAACATCTAATGGGCTATTATTA